CGTTTTTCCAATTCTATAAATCGTCGTGTGCCCGCGTCCTCGTACGTACGTGTACACACACATACACACACACATATGTATATACACAACATACACGTCCGCACGTACAGTGGAGGAGCGCGTGTATCTCGCGCGGCTCGCTCGCTCGCTCGCCCGGCCGCGCGACTCCGTTCGCTCGCGCTGCCATACACACCGGCCGTGGAGCCCAGTTATGAATGGCCTACGTCGGTTGACGTTAATCTGCCACTTCATCTCTCTCATCCAGCAGCCTCCGCTCTCTCTCTCTCTCTCTCTCTCTCTACATCCCCATCTCCGCCACACGCGTCCGCCTCGAGCCACCCACCCANGAGCCACCCACCCACCCCACCCGTGCCCTGCCGCGTACTCTCTAACCAATTGTTTCGTCGGGGGAGCAAAAAAAGGAAGGAGGGCGAGAGAGCGAGAGGAAGGAGGTCGCGAGCGAGAGGGTGGACGGGAAAAAAGGGGATGGTAGAGAGGGAAAGAGAGAGAGAGGAAAACTCGGCCTCGACGAAAAAATGCTTCGGCCCGTCGCGTTACATACGCGTGGCCACCAAATTAAATCGCTCGTTGTTTCGGCCGCGCATCCGTCCGTCCGTTCGCGTGCGAACGAAAAATAAAAAAAGCGGAGAGAGAGGGAGGAGGGGGCGCGTTTATGGTGTATCTTGGCGCGCGCGGAACGTTTTATAGAAAACGCCACAGGTTTTTCTGGCGATACTCCGGCGGACGAGTTCCGCGGACGCGTCCAATGACGAACCCGCAGTCTCGCGGAATGTTACAAACAAACGAATCGCTCTTCGCGAAAGGCAAAACCGATAAATATCACAAGTTGTTTAATGGCGTAAATAGATTTCCTTTTTGTAAATGTCGCGAGGTCCACGTGACGCGAGGCTTCGAAGTAACGTTGACCCCTCCTCTTCTTCTTGTGTCCCTAATTAAGATATCGCGGGAAGTTTTCCTCCACGGCCTATTTTATTACACACGATTGCATATTGTAATTTAACGTTGTAACGTAAAACCGAATTAAAGCGATAGAACGCCGTTATCAGAGCTCACATTTTTGATAGTACCGATTTATGGCGGTCACCATTAGACGGATCTGTACGGGAATGTACACGGGAAAAAGTTAGCCTTGAATCAAGAACGGATATTCTCGTGTATAAACAAAAATATTATAATCTCCTTGGAAGATTTTTATATCTTGATTTGATTTAATTTGTATTGATGCAAGTATTACTCAATTCAAGACTAAAAATCTTGCAAGAATATCTGAATATTCTTCCTTATACTTACTTCCTTATAATACTTACTACTTCCTTATACTTGCTTATATCTCAGAGCAGCATCCACAAACTTTGTGAGAACATAGAACAGATTGAGGTGAACAAAAAAGTTCCGTACCATTTTGCAAACAAAATTTCGAGTTATTACTGATTGAAAATGGCTATATATAAAGGCTTCTTTAACGAATAAGTAAAAAAATGTGCATGTTATTTGCAAAATGCTACAAGACTTTTTTGTCCATTTCAATCCGTCCTACGGCCTCACTGAATTTGTGGACGTTGTTCCGAGACATAGGAGAACGTCTATCTTGATTTGGGAATAATTTTTCTCTGTGCAATAATAACGCGAAATTGTTCCATCGAATTTCGATTTTTCGCTACTACAGTTCGAATCAACGCTCTAATCAGCTGAGTCGCTCGCAATCGAGAGGAAACCCCGACGAATTATGGGAGTCGTGGCGCACAGACCGCTGATGGAATCTTACTCTTTTCCTCCGCTGCGATGAACGTAACTCATCAGCGGCCCAAGTCCAAGAACGATTAACGCTGAGTAACGTCGCGCTCCGACTTCGACGTCCGGTTCAGACTCCGGCGCTGCTCGGGAACATTCCGATCTCTCGTCGAGACAAATTAAAATCAAGATTAGAGAGAGAGAGAGAGAGAGAGAGAGATTTAGCTGCGCGCCTCGCAAGGAGCCGCGGAAATAAAGGCCATCTTCGAGCACGGCTCCCAGGTCGTAGTCCAGTGGTTGTTCTCCCGCCGACGTCGAAGTATACCAATCGCCGTCCGCGTCCTGTAAGATTTATTTGACGACACGAGGGTGGAAAACGAGGGCGAGGGAGAAAACGCGGGATTTCAAAGGGAACGCGATTATTCGTTCCACGCGAGGAAGCGGAGCGGCCGGGGAACTGCCCGAAGTATTCGATCGAGGGAGAGAGGGAGAGAACATTTTGTCTTTAATTTTTGCATTTTATTCTCCTACTCGACGGAGCGCTTTGCTCCATCATCTCGCATCGAGGTCGTTGCCGCGACATACTCCTATCCGATTCGTGAGAGATGAACGCACGAATTATAACGAACTCGTTCGTCCTCACGTGAGCTACTATCTGCACGGTGAGGAACATTAATTTCGATCTTAACGTTATCGAGTTACGAGCGAACTTCGTTGGATCGGCCGCAGCAACGATACGAGGCACCAAATAATCATTTTCGTCCCAGCGACGGCCGCGAAAAGGAGAACGCTGCCTTAAGATCGGCCTCGTCCGAGTATATAGTAACGGGTGAAGGCACACTAACGACACACTGTATAAATAACATCAGCGCAGCGCGTGATCGTGGAACGCGCGTCGCTCTATCGTACAGACTAATTAAGGAATTAAATAGTATATTGAGACTGCGCTATGTACTGTTGCTTCTTATTACGAACCATTAAATACGACGCATTTTTTACAATATGTACAATTTCGCATTATACGAACATGTAGTGGGAGCATCGTGCGACGGACAATACGTTCCTTCTGCTCTGGAGGGAGCAGGCACGTACGTAAAAACTAGAATCGACAGTGCTAAAGCGCGCCTCTCGTCGGGATGTAATCACTTTAATTTCGCGTAACTTATCATTATACCTGGTGCGGTTGCATTGTCGTATAAACATTATTCGTATTTATGGTCCATAACTTTGACAGGTAATACTTTATGTTTCTCGCGCGCGTTATTCAATACCGCTGCGGAAAGTATTCGTCGCGCGCGCGCGACTCGCGCTCTCTCTTCCTCCGTTATATATCGTGAACGTTCCTCGTCTCGTCGTTAAGAAGCGCCGCGAAAACAGTTTTCAGCATAATCTAAAAATTCGGCGGGTCAGTCTACAAATTACAGGTACCGGAGATGACACTGAAAAATCCATTTAATTGATCCAAACAAAATCTGATTACATATGGAAAAAATTTTCTTTAGATTTAACATTTCTATTTATTTGACTAAAATATGTTTCATAGAAACAACATATACGAAATATTATTTGTTTGAGTGAAAATTATATTGTCTCATTCAAGAAAACTCTATTATTTAACAGAAAGAACGCTATTATTTGAAATAATATATTTTAACCAAACAAAATATTATTTGGTTACAATAAATATGTAAAATGAAACAAATAATTTCTTTACAAGAAAATTATGTTTCGTTTCACACAAATTTTTTATTTAAAATAAAGATACATATTCGTCGATAAGTCTAACAATTGTACTTATTGATCGAAACATTTGTTCCTTTGAAGAGTGTCAATGGTGAAATTTGTTTGGATGCAATAAAATTTATTAAATTTGAAGAAATCTCTTTCTCAGTGTAAGATACAAATCTCTAGGTTGTGAGAAGCGAAATTTGGTGCTTCGAACTAAAGATTTAATTCTCTGAAGCCTTTTCATTTTCGTCTCAGAGATCTAAAGCTTCGATTCAGAAAGCCACATTTTCGTTCTCATAACTGAATCATCTGTTTGAGCATATTTTAACCAAAATTTTGTTTGAGCCAACTAAATGGGGTTTTCGGTGTGTAAAATCAGATTTCAATAATACAAAGTCTACTTGTACAATTCGTCGCGTATATTGAATCTGTTTGGTTCGTCTAACGGTGTCCAAAGGTGTCCGTTTCGCTCTTGTCGCTTGCTGATTTTCGTAAGTGCCTTCGTTGCGCACACATGCGTCGTTTCGCTCTCGCACCTACTCACCTACACGACCTTCTGCGCGATCGCACGGCGAGATTATGCCGCTTAAATAAATCAAGAATTTCATATCGATACCCAACGGAAAGTACGTAAATGCGAAAGCTGCATTTCGGAATATAAATAAAAGGCTTGCGGTGCGACGCCCGCGAAGTGACGGAGAAATTCTTAAAAATTACGCGAGCGAGCGAATTAAATTCCGTCCGATCCGACGTCCTCGCGATCGACTTAATCTTCCAATGCACCATTCGATCTTTTCTCTTTCTCTCTGCCCGAACAGGGAAATTGTATACGCTAATATGTTACAATATATACGTATTGAATAACATCCCGACAAACACCGTCTAACAGTAACATAACGTTAATGTTATAATTTCTCTCTCAACAAATGTAAATTGTACATATTTCTCAAAACAAATGTAATGCAACATAACGTGCGTGTTATGTAACAGTTACATTCGAGTGGGAAATTATAAAATTGATGTTATGTTACTCTTGGTTGGTGTTTATTGAGAGGCTGTATAAATGGATAATAAATCGTGGCGTACGATTTTTGTTCCACGTATCATGTACCCTGAGAAATGGATTTGGGTGGGTCTACCTGACAATGGACTAAAATTAACTAAATGCGTTTCAGTTGAGAAGGAAACAAAATTTCTACTACTCACGAGCCAATTAAATATAATATATATATATATAATTATATGTAAATATAATATATATATAATATACATATAATTATATGTAAATATAATTCTTATATAACCAGAAATTCTATTTCCTTTCACCAGAACGAGTTTGGCCGGTAGATCATCAAATAGATCCAACCAACATTCATTTTTTAGAACATCCAAGTCGGCATAACGACCTTGACATATCGTACGTCTAAGCGTGATTTTCTCTTCTATGCGCATTATTTATGAATTATTCAAGAAAAAAAAAGAAAAAAACAGGAATGATGTGTTAAAGGAATAAAATGACATTGAGACCAACTTACATTAATATTCATAAACAAATGTGTACACGGTTAGAAAATAACAGTAACCTAACTACGCTGCCACGTATTTAAAGTCTGCGCACAATGACACACACGAGATTGAACAACACTGTACACTGTGAACCTACAATTCCCAAAAGTTAAGTTCCCTCGTTGGAACCGTTGGCCGCGCTGGGAAAAAATATTCGAGCCATTTTGAAACTCGGTGAATACGTCTTACCTCTTACGACTCTATTCCGATCCGCGAGGTGCATCGGAAGGTTAAAACGGGGACGCTTAAATTAATACAAAATCTCCGCAGCAGCTAAGCTATAAACGTATGATAAGAACGGAGCGGAGGAGCTCGTTTGTTAGGAAAATCACATTGGCAATTAAATATCGGTCGGGCGATTTACCAAGTCATCTTTCTCATTGAGACGTCATTCTCTCCGATTAATTGACTCGATTATTAAACTCCACAGTTCGCTCATCGTCGGACCTACGCGAGTCAGTCAAACAGTCGCGCGCCAATCAACGTTGCACGTCAACGTATTTTCGTTGCGATCGCTTCACGCCGTTTCTCGTCTCAGAATGGAATGTAAAACTGTCCTAGCACTTAACAAATTACTGCTGAATTGCTATACATTTTGTGCATCGGTTGGTTCAGGATCGATGATGCGCTCCGGGAGAAATTCCGGAGCTGACGCGATCACTCGAAACGGTCGTCCCGGAGAGTAACGGATTAGTAGTGCTTCGAGACCCTTATTTTTCGGCAGAATACACAAGAACTATGCGATCGGTACGAACTAAGGCGTTCCGTTAACGCCCCCGCGTTATCGAGCCTCTTCTGTACGCGTCGTCCGCGGACGGAAGGAAAAAAACAGCGAGAATCCACCGATTCGAACGTCGAGCGACTCACCCGAGATGCCTGCCAGGTTTCTCCTCCGGTTCTTGCCGGCACCTCGGTATCGTTTCCTCTAGTCTTTTTCCCTGGACAATCGTTCCCCCCTGATCCTCCCACTTCGGTAACATCACTTCTCGGCGAAGCTGATCTGCCCGTTCTCCGCCACCGAATCGCTCGGCGGTTGCTTCAGGACGGCGTCGTTGGCGCACTTAACGCGGAAATAACGGCAGAGTGTCGTCACGAGGAACATGCCGAACAGGATGCCCATTACGGCACCGACGGCGACGTCCCACCAGTGGTGCCGCTTGTCGGCGACTCTCGTTGCCGAACACACCACGGCCCATAGGCACGCCATGCTCTGCAGCCAGGGCTTCAGGTAGAACATCCGGGTGAGCAGACGATATTGGAGGTACCACTGTGGGGGCAAGAGAGAAAAAGGATGAGATTGGGAAATTCTTATTTACCAGTCCCCGAGAACAGCGGCCTGTGAGACCGCTCCGAGCGGTCCTCCTACATCCTTCCCGTCCCTTCTTTCTTACCTCAGAGCCCTTCGTTCGTTCGCCACGGCGGGGAATTTATTTCGCCATTCTCTCTCTTTCTCGCACACGCCGCTATTTATCTATCGCGGGGCGCGCTCCGCGAAAATCGATATCCGCCGTTAGTCTGGATTTTTTTCGGATTCTTTCCGGCAGGTTGCCTGGATATTAGCTATCGATACCTGAAGGGAGGATACCAGATGCTGGCATCGCGGCTCCCTGCATTGCCAACATGAGGTTCGGGAAAGATGAGACGCTTCCTTCTCCGTTTCGTTTTTTAATCTGTCGGGAGTGGATAATCTTGCGAAACTCACCACAACAAAGATGCACGTGAAAACGGACAAGGCTGCGTGACCGGAGGGGAAAGATCTGCTAGAGTCCATGACGAACCATGCCGAGTTGTCGGTATTTGTGCAGGTATAACTGCTGAAGTATCTGTAGGAAAGATTACACAGCCAGGATTAAAACAGCTGAGAAATCATATAGTTAGAAAATTACATAAGCGAATCGTCGCTTTAGTTTTTAAGAAGCCTCAAACGCGTTATAGAACATTGTACGACCGACTACATATTGTTCAGTTGAACATTGGGCATCTACCTCGCTTGCGATCGGTAAGCGCACCACCTTAATCGAGACATTACCGTGCGTTAATATTGCGAAGGGTGATCGAGCGCCGAAAATAACGGTGCTCTGTGCTAACAAGCCTACAGTTGGACCTCTAATTTATATAACCGATTGCGCACGAAAAAAGAATTTCCGTTCGTACAACAGAATGGCGTTAGAAAAAAATTCGATAATGAGAAGCGATATCTCTTATCGCGGCCGAAAGCATGTGGTTGCATCAAAACTAAGCTGAGATAACTGAGAACGATTGGTTTAGAAATCTCTTACTTTGTTTGTCCGACCTTTCATATCCCCCAAACGATCAGAGAGATCACACGAAAAAAAGATCTCTGTAACTGTAATAGGAACTAGACGAAAATTTGTCGACGGGAAATGATATTTCTCTGTTGCCGCGACCGAAAACATAAATCACAATAATACTCGATCTTCCTTGTTGACCGATTAGAAGCATCCTACGAGAATCTTCATGTTTCTACGATCGAATAGTTTTCCAAATAGTTTCCCGGTTCGCAAGAAATTCAGCCCCACACCTTTTTCCCTTGCTCAGTTGCACGAACCGCGAGTTGCTTTTTCCACGCACGCTCTTACATGTCGTACTATTACCGACACCATTTCTGGCTAGCAATTGCTAATCCGCGTACTTCCTCCGTTCTTCGTCAGACCGCGCGTAATACATCTAGGACCCTACGAACACGTCACCCGTGCGTTCGTCTACCTACACCACCAACGAAAGCCGATCCAATTGCGCGTAGGGTGCCAGGACACAAAAGAGAGCAAAGAGGAAATCGCTTACTCATCGGTGCAGTTGATTGCCTCGCGTGGCTTGCACGTGTCGAGAAAGTGCGGTCTTGGCTCGCCTATCAGTATTTTTATGCACTCGCAGACGAAAGCGAGGACGATAAAGACCACGATATAGTGGCGATACCAGGTCCAAATGTACTTCGATCTGTAGCCGTTGTAACCCTCGTTCTTGTAATTGTCTGCGGAATAACAGACGCATTCGACGATCCATATCTGAAACCGATTGATAAAAT